GTTGGCGGCCTTCCGATTCACGACTCTTAGCGCCTTGTTATAGGTCCAATCGTTTGGTATTTACTACATTGGGAATGCGCCGTGGTGACTCATTCGACCTCACTCTTTCTCTCCCCGTGCACCGTCAGTCGACTGTCTCAACCTGTCAACCAACTAGTGATGGGATTGGGTGCAATGGCTGACGCGGCATGAAGGGCTATTTCTAAGATGCGGCACACACGTGCACATATACTGCAGTCGCTGTAGGCTCGTACGGATTCAGCGCGGCCAAGCAAATGCGCACAGTGAGCCAGTCTGATCTCCCGCGTTGACCCAGCGTATCGGCAGCGCGACCCGTTGTCGGGGAGTTATCTCTTAACCACATGGACACACAAACACGCGTAGACATTTCATTGTCGCATTTCACCCTATTCTGATTCGCTTTTCTAGTTGGCAGAAGCTCACCAATTGTGATTGGATCAGCTTCAATGGCCGACGCGGTGTAAAGACCTACAGTAGATGTGCTAACTCATGAAATGCTAGCCGAGACTTTGAAATGCGTTTTCGAGTCGAAAAGATTGCTTAAGTAGGGTTGTAAAACTAATCATCGCGCAACATAATCGTATGGAAATTCTGTTACCTCAGGATGCCTGCTTTAGAAAGAACTTGCCGGGCACATGCAAAGGCCACACCCTGTAAAAATGACTACTTAAGTGGCGTGGCTTCTTTTCTCATTGATTTCCGATGCCCATATAGATTCAAATATATTTCATAGAAAACGGGCATGAAAGTATGCATTCTTTTATTCACTCGGCAGAACATTACGTCTTCTTAGACGTTTATACTTAAAGGACAGGCTATAACTCAGTTTCAGCAGGTTTCTTATTGTGTGATTTTTTAAGACCGCGAAATGACCGTTCATAAAACAATGCTACCTGTATAGCGTACAATATGGATAAAATCCACTGCTAAATTTTGTGAATCCCATATGGTCTCATCTTAATACCGTAGTGAAATACATGATTTTCTATACACGAACAATTTACAGCTTGTAGTTTTGAAACTCTGAATGCAAGTATAACTGCAGGTCGGGTTCAAAATTATTCGGGAATTGGGAAAGTGTTTGTGAACAGAATTATGCCCTTCCTCCAAGTATAAGTGTTTAAGAGGACGTCATTTTCTACCAAACGCGTAAATGAATGAACACTTTCCAGCATGTTTCTTGTGAGATACATTTGAATTTATAAGGGCATCATACTCGACAGGGGAAGCACATACTGCTTAAGCAGTCTTTTTACTGGATGTGTTTTATGCAGGCAGACGGGCAAATGCTCATTCAGAAGTCAGTATCCTGGCATGACCAAAGTGTCTTGAGATTATGTTGTACGGTACTTAATCTTGTAATCCCACTTAAGAAATCCTTCCTAGTCGAAAACCGATCTCAGAATTTCGGGTAGCATTTCAACAGATTGGTCACTGACTGTGGTCACGGTTGGTGGTGTAACCCACAAAATATCCTTAAGCCTACAAGGAAATCCTTTTTAGGCAAATACTTCCCACCGGCGTCCGCCACCCACTTTGGCTCGCGCAGCCCAATGGGCGCCTGCCATGAGGCAGTCTGACTCCCGTATTGATCCAGCGTATCTGCAGCACGGGCCGTTGTGGGAGTCATGGACGTGCTCATAGCTAGTGTTGCATGCAGCACTAGGTGGTTCGCGAATGCCACTGATGTAGGCGCCAACTATGGCAGGGTTTGCGCTACTTGCAGAACCACTAATTAACTTGCGAGACAGAGGAGTCCCATGATCATGCGACCACCAAGGCAGTCCGAGTTCCTTAACCCACAACAACTGTGCCACTAAAAAGTTCGGAGAAGACGCCTTCGGTATCAAATGTCTTTTATTCCGTACCTTCGAGTCGAATTGATTAGCGACGTCCTAACTAGGTCACCAGCCTGTGCAGGCGTTGCCAACTGACCCCCTCAAGTAGTCCAATACTGCCTTTGATCGTTCAGCCTTCCGCAGAAGAGGATTCTGCCTGTACGGCAGATATCTACTGGAAATGTCCTGGATGCCTGTTGAATCCCAATGAACGTCCACTAATACAGTAGCCTCACATTTTTGACGAAATAACCTCCTCTTGGGGGGGGGGGGGGCGCACGAGATTTCGAAGGGGCCATTATGTTTTACAGGCATAAAAGTGACCAGCGTATCTGTAACAATCACAGGAAGATGTCTCATCTCAATGTTGGCTGCAAACCTTTCGGCAGCATCATCAAGTAGCTTGAATGTTCGCTGCTGATTTCGAAGACGTAGAAGAACGCAATGTACGACCATCGCAGATGGATAACTTCAAAAATGCTTGGAACTGAGAATTAGCCGCCTAACCACCTATGCAGATCTCACCGATGCTTTGGACGATGAGAAAGTGAACAGGATGCGGAAAATCACGACGAAACCTTGATGCTTTGGAAAGTTCATCTCGGTGATCTGATTCTTGCATGATTAGGGCAGAGGAAAGTCGGATTGGATTGATGGCCATTGTTTTTCGTTCAGACGATACCGGAGCGGCTGGGAATTCGACAGATCAATATCTGACTAAATTTTGGCTACAATATTTGGAAGAGACTTTAGAATTTTGTGTGAGAATTGCAAACAACATGGAGTAGCACCTTAGTAAGCTGTGTTGGCAATATTTGAACTAGGGGGTAGTTCCGATTGCATAGTAGTTCGGCTGTCGCTTGAGACGATGTCCACCGTGTGCTCTACAGCAAGTTTAAGCAGACACGGTGAGATGCGCAGCATCAATAGTAGGTTTAGGATACTGACAGCGCCAAGGGTTGCTATAATAAACCTATTCTTATGCGAGGTGCTTGTAAAGGTTGGGACAGTTTCTTCAGGTATTCTGTTCCGGAGGTTGAAATAGATACCAGCAGGAAATGTATTGTCATTTGTGGTCCGGGTACGTTTCAGCGGTGTTATCGACGATTGCGCGTAGGACTACTTCGGGAAGTCAAATCTTAATTCATTATCTCTGCCCAACAAAATTGCTTGTACATTAATCACGATCCGTGTATGCAGTGTTCATAGAATCGTTGGAGGTTGAGACGTATCCTTATTTTACTCTGGTTTTAAAATACGAATAGAAAGGTCAAGCTAAGCTGCTTGGCGACGGATTTTTCGAACACTTTTTGTGACACACGAGAAGATGAAACAAATAGAGATGATTGTAATCCAAGCATGAAAGAACAATAACGCGATATAAGGGATGCTTCTTGGCATGGCAGTTCTGAATCCCATGAGCATAAGTCCCTTTGTTAAAGAAAAAGACTTTCGTTATTGAGCTCCCTATTCATACAAAATCAGAAAAATAAAACCACATTTTACAGCAGCAATTTTGAAAACTTTAAAGCTATCGCCTCTAATACAATCGTCATTATGTGAGGAATAACAAATGAGTCTCAAATTTGCATTCAAAAGCCTCGACAGGTTCTGAAAGAACCACCGCGTGAAGAAATCCTTTCCATGCTCCGACGACCCTCTGAGAGAAGCCATTCCATCGGACGTCCGTAGTGGTCAACTCCCATGAAGTTTAAGGGGATGACCGCGCAGACAGTCCGTCCAAGTCAGTTCAAAGAAGTCCCCAAATTCTAGGACACACTCGCAGCTTCCAGCCATCCGGAAGCCTTGAATGGTATCGCTGAGCAGCTGCCTGTAATTGAGTGGAAACAGATTAAGATCAGCCAGTATGGTCGCGTAAGACAGATGGCCGAATGTTTTGACCATTTCGCAGTCCTCGCACTAGTCCTTGCCGGCAGCAAATAGCCCATCTTAAAGCAAGGACGTAAAGCTTGGACAGGATATCCTGTCCAAGTTCAGAGTGATATGGAACGAATTGCCGTAGATTTTTCCTAGCAGTTCCTTATCATTCTAAACAAATCATCGTCTTGGGACAAATAATACCTATGTCGCACGTCTAGACGACTTCAAACACTGTGACGGTGGTTTAAGCCAGTAAGTTATTAGGACGTCGAAGTTCCTCTGCTCCTAACGTTTGAAAGAGGCCGCCAATAAATAAAGATTCCAGAAAGATCATCATCCTCATAGCCCTTTCTGCTGCGGATTCTTATGGCCCACATCTACCAACGGTAAACTTTAAGAGTCAACGAGCAGACCAGTCGCTGCGTCGCTTGAGACTCCCCTAAGGTGTGGGCTTGTGACTGTCAGATCTGACGGTTTTCCACATTTTAACATCGTCAGCAAACACGACGGCCCTATAACCCAGGCTGTTGTAGCCATTTTAGTCTAGGAAGAGCAACGGTCCTAAGTGGTAGCCTTGTTGGAGCAACTTAGAACGGGCGTAGGGGTTCACTTCGAGGCATCAACGTATACGGTTTGCTGTTTCCCCGTAAGAATATCTGCCTTGCATACCAGTAGCTTGTACAGGTGAGGCAGGTTAGGGAATGAGTGTTGGCGTTAGTTCGAGCCCCGCCCTCATTTATTGGAAATGTATTTGCTGCCTTCCATTGGGACAACAGCTCCCCTATTTCAATCAATGAACGAAAGATACGCGGTAATGAATTTCAGAGTTATTTCGACAATTCTCTTAAGAACTTGTTGACAGTTTAACTTTCATTTTCCGTACTTTTCTCAAAGGTCTCTATTTCTGGGGCCTTTTCCACTTTCATTCTCGATATATACTGTATTCCCATAGTTTCATTTGTCCTTTTCTAACGAGTAAGTGCTTACGACTCTCTCTATTATTTGCACCGGTCAAGCATCGCTGTGCATAGAGTTCCGATTGCTATCAGTGGACTTAGCTTACACATGAGATGTTTATAATCCCTCGAAGAAAAAGGTTTTAATATTTAAGGATTTGTGCCTTCAAAGTTACCTTATAGATGCGGAATTTAAAGCCGTTGAGTTTTATGACAAATAATCTGACGTGAACCACCGATAGTTATAATGCTCCAAACGCGCTTGGGTTGTTTGCTGCGGCAGCATTTTAAGAAATTCTCAGCTATGGTTGGTTTGATTGCTCCTCGTTCACTTTAAGCCCTGTTGGATGTTCTATCTTTCGACCTTAGTCTTTGCATGCGTCAGCATTCTGGTGCTCCATGTTTTGACTTGATTTTGTTAATTGTGGCCCCTCATTTTCATTCAGTTAGATGGATTGCTTCAAAGCATTTGCTTTTTACATATGGAAAACAGTGTTTAATCATTGCTGTTCAGTAGGACCGCTTGATATTCTCTTGACGCGGGTCTTAATTCTTAAAACGGGCAGACACGTGTCCCGTATGTGCGTATGCGTATCCTGATTCATCAGGTCATGACACTGCGTACGGAGTGCATGCTGGCTTTTGTGTGATCCTGCACTAGCGGCTCAGATCTGCGAGCTTATGTGCAGCCAGCAATCAGATTGGGTGACTGGGAATAACCTACAGGAGTGACTCCGTTTTACTACCGCATTCCCGCTAGTGACGTCAGTCACGCGAAGGGACTGCTAGGCGAATTGTGGCTGCTCAGCTGGTCTCAAAAGTGGCCACACGATAGTCGTAGGGGTCAGCCCTGGACGAGTTTGATGGCAACAAAGTATCCAGACGTCCTGTGCCAATCAGGCTTTTATGTACTCTGCTCATATCTTGAATGCAGTAACCACAACGCCGTGCCAAAGACGAGGGCTGACCTAATTGTTTGCCTGACTAACGCATAATAAGGGATATAATTTTTTTCTTCCCAGGGATCTGCTTATATTCTTGGATTAGTTCTGTAGTAAAGCATATATACCCTTCCTCCCCGAGACTGTCATTGCGTCACTACATATGTCTTCGTCCCTCCTGACTCCTGAATATTTTAGGCTGCGAATTCCGCCGAATTCTACACTTTCAGTGCAGAGAATATCGATGGTGAGATGGTATCTATGGAACGATACAAGTAATCCTCTTTTTTAAACTTATTCCCCAACAATCAAGAGGCAAAGTCTGCTTGGTCGTGAATGTTGCTACCAAATGAGGTTTAACCGACAAAAACTACGCCCAGCTGCAAGAATTGTATACCTCTTACGCTGGCCAGGGTCTCCATATTTTAGCTTTTCCATGCAATCAGTTCGGTCACCAGGTAACCGTTGTCATCTGGCAATACTGACCCTCTTAGGAACCTGGTACCAACGCTGAAATCAAGGAAAATGCCCTCAATAAATATCATGCTACCTTCGAATTTTTCAGCAAGTGTGACGTCAACGGCTCTAACGCTCTTCCGCTCTTCAAATATCTGCAAAACGCTCTCCCCGGCACACTTATTAAGTAAGTTCGTCTTGAGTGTCTTATTTTATAAAAACCCCATGGGACAAAAGTCGCACTGGAGGAAGTTTTTCAGCAGATTCAACTCATTCTCTAACGACCTGTTAATTCTCCCATGATCACGTTGCATCTATTGACAGCTAGTCTACTGTATGATGGATTGTATATGCAGAACACATCTACAAACCGATTTGCATTGCACAAATGCAGCGTGTGATCGGGCCGTAGTGAATTTCAGATAATGGAACCCCGTGTTGGTCTGTCAATTGCTTTGGAGTGTGTACCTGACCTCTATTCGGAATACAAGGTGCACTGCCACACGAAGGACAAACGAACTTTGTTTTGTCATCTCGCTTCCAACTGTGAATTTAATTCAGGGATAGGCAAACACATTGCTGTGTCGCTTCCATTGTCTCTTGTGCTGACACTCAATCTGTTTGGTGGTTAGACCCGAACTTGCGACACGTATTTTGTTAGTTCCCTTGCATGATAGGAAACTTGGGTAAACGGATGCAAGATTCAGTAGGCCACAACGCTCTGTAGGAAAGTTCGTAAGACAAATGGTGCAACAAGTAGTGTGTAACCCTAACTTTCATCTAACTCATACCTCTGTTTGTTAAATGCAGCTCAAACAATATCGTGCTGCAGAACATCCTTTATACACACGATCGTTCCTACACCGCTTCAAGCTAACTCGTCTTGGCCCGGCGGGTCAGCGCACAGGCCGCAGTTGATAGTAGTGAGAAAGTTATATCCCTTTGAGTCAGGAAGTCATGAACGATGTCCTTTATATCTGTCATAGATTTTCATTCATGACAACCCTCTGACTATTTCGGTGCGTGTAATTTTCAGATCCCTTGGTGTCCCTGGTAGACGGTCGTTGTCCTTATCCTCTGCTCCACCCATCAGCTTACCCTGTTCTGGGAGTCTAATGCGGCACTTCCACGGCTATTAGACTGATCATTGGTGAATGAGACCTCGTAGTCATTGTCATTTTCGAGCCCAGCCTTGCAGTTTTACTTGAGTCTGGTAGTGGTTCCGCTCGACGGACAGCAGTTGTAGTAAGCTAAGAATAGACTAGACAGGTCGTTTGGGAACAGTCGATGAAGAAATGGACTAGCAGAGTTTGGTCTGCGTGTCGGCTGTCCTTCCTGTTTATTAGGAAATACAGATTAACGCTTACGAAATCATCTACTCTTTTTTTAGTTCAATCAAGTGGAACTTCACCAAGTTCCTCATCGCCCGTGATGGTACTCCATACAAGCGTTACTCCCCGCAAACTGACCCCGTGGTACGTTCTGTCAACTGTCCGAACTTTGTTTTTAAATGCACTAATTATTAAACGAACGTTTAGGTTCTGCAGTGGGGGCATGCGATTTCGGACCAGATTACGTAGCTGAACGTGTACTGTCAAGCTTAGCATAGGGCGAAGTAGAGTTGGCTTAACTTTTTTTGCTTGGGGACTAAGACTTCGTTACGTTTAGATCACCTACTTGTTTCAAGTACGACGTTGAGCTGAGAATGTGACCGTGATGACTGCACACAGGTCTGACGAATATATCTTCTAGACCCGGATGTTTAAAAGGCATGCGTGGAGTGTTTGAAACAATTCGACTGTGAATAAGCTCATTGACCTGTCAAGGTCTTTCCATCTTCACTGAGGTCTAAATCCGTTCTCGAATGTTGTGTAGGTGAAGTTTTCCGTGCTAGTCGACGGAAATCCCTTTTCGACCAAGGTTTTCCTTGCGACCTGGATCCTGTGCTTTTACTCTATCCCTTAACAGATGATAAACCTGGTTTTAGCGCTCACCTGGCCGTTTATTTTTCCCTCTTGTCATCGTTCTCTTGCTGTAATAACCATTTAGATCAGTCTGCTGTGTAAAACTCTTTTGAATCCCTCTAAGAAATGAACGATGAAGATAGACGGCAATGCAGTGAAGTTGACTTTTCCCTTGAGAACTACTCACGTTTTTAAGGATTATTCGGATAGATTCGAATGCCCGGGTCCGTTAAGCCTTTGTCCCCCGGTATCTTTTTCGGGATAGAAGTCCTTTATCACTACATTTCACCATGCGGGCGTGCCCGGGGCATGTTTCGTTAGCATAGCTTTCCCGGTGCCTTACCGACATTTTATGTTTGATCTTCTGCATCTAAGGTCTCAAGATCGCTTCCATCCCACCAAGTTTTCTATCGTTTTCTCACTCTTTCCCTTAGTCCATCGAGCCGGACATCAAACACCTTCTATCATCCAACTAATCCGTCGACGTCAAAGAAGCCAGCACGCTCTCCACAAGTTTTGCTAGTCGAGCCCGCCTGAAGGAGACGTCCTTATGACGGAGCTGGTGAAAAGCTACCACCAACTCCTGATTTTTGCAGTCTGGTATACGCTGCAAAGATAACTTCTCAGACCCTCGCTTGCGAATCCTTGTTTAACTCGTGTGCTGCGCTTCCCACCTCCATGTCTACTTCCAGTCTTCTAATTCTTACCTTGTCATACTTTTTCACAGTCTTCGATACAAGTTTTGTTATTTCCCAAACATTTGGTATCTTGACTGTCGTCTAGTGTGGTCACCCGGGTCATGTGGTTCGCCTATTATAGTCGATGATTGCTATCTTCACCAGATTGTGTTTATGATACTTTCGGTCGGCAGTACTGTCCCAGTCGTGGGGCTACACTGAATTGATTCTGGAACATGATGCGCCCACATCATTTGTCCTGGATCTCCAATTTAGAGTTTTCTTGAGAAGTGACAGTGCTTCCTACCTGAGACTTAATGAGTCTGGGTCCGAGCTCTGTGCTCTCCTTTCCTCGGGTTTGTGTAGGGCCTACTGGCCTCCGATAGGCCAGGAGCGACTACTGCAGTCTCCCTTGTCTTGCTCGGCACTGTTGCTTGTCACTCGACCGCCATTGGGGGCTGCAACATGGAGGCCCAAGCCAGACGAACCAGTCATGTTCGTCCTCCATTTCGGCCTGTGAAGCGGCGTTTCCAGAACAATATAGATATCCTAGTACGGTGAGGAGGATATGAAGCCTGGAGATGTGCCCACGAATGTGTGTTGCCTCCGTTCCAGCGTCCCGAGTTAGTTGCACTGAAGGGGACTCAACTCTGACGTGGAGTATTATTGCCTCCCAGCTGATCCGAAGGAGGGTTCGAGCACTGTTTAGCAAAGTAAACTGCTGGGCTTGCCCGGATCCATCGTTTGAGGTATGCGGTAAGACAGGACAATTCCTCTCTTTAAAGCGCCTTATGCTGCCAAGGACGGTTGGGTAACTTCGTGGCACTTACTAACGACAAGGAAGGGTCGCGGTCTGCAGCTCTCTACGTGGCGTTTTACCGGATGAAGCGTGTTCTGCGCGTCAGTTAAGCAATTTATGGTCTGATTTCGACACACCGAGTCTTTGTGGCGCTGTTTTTCAGCGCATTGTCGTCGGTCGGCGTGATAGCCCTGTCGAACGGTCGCAATCTGTCCCGCCATGTTTGACTTGCGCAACTGCAGCGTCAGCGCATGGAATTCAGAGGGTAACATCCGACTGCTCATCGAGATTTAGCCAACCCCTCGTCCGCGTTGTTGCCACCGAGTTGCACACTGCGGACCAAACGCGCCGGTTTTGGAGGCCTTTCACACAGTGGATCCTGCTTTGCTGCCCCTATCGGCTAGTCTCTTCCAGTGAGGTCGGAGAAGTTGAACGCTCGGTTAGATCACTCTACTTGGACTTGTTACGCAGGCTACGATTCTTTCCCCTTCGTTTCGCAATTGTCGGGAGCATGTTCATTTTCTGGTGTAGGGCCCTTACACAAGTTCTTTCGTTTGGTAGCGGGTGGCTACTGTAAAAGCCAACTCCCAGTCTCTCCCTTGTGAATTAGTCGCTGCGGTTGCTCCCTGTTCGTTTTATGGCTGTCTGCCGACAATAGCACTCAAGAGCACAGTATGGGGCTGTCCTATTCCAACCAGGTAGTTTTCTTCGACGTCCTCGTTTGCCGCAAAGATTGTGGTGGCTAAGAACCAATGTGTTTGTAAAGGCGTCTAATACGACGCAAGTATTGAGCTTCAACGGGAACCACCCAATCAGCCACAAACGCAGTTGCGCAAGGGTGCCATGCCGGCGTGTCGAGACGCATTGCAGTGAACCGGAAGGCAGCGGACGCAGCGATAAGGCGCCAGGTCATAAGACCGGAAGACCCGCTGCCACAGCAGAAAACGCATGGAGTCGTTTACGGGGACTGGTAGTGTTGCGGACAGAGTAACGTCGGAAAAACTAAGGACTACTCCAAGCGCAAGTGGCCGAACAGTAATGAGGAATGACGCTAGCTCCCAGATTGCGGCTCATTCGACGGGACCCGGTTACGCCTTCAAGTCTAATGAGGTCGTAATCCCCGCAAGGGATGACAACTGCATGAGCCGTGAGTTACCTGAGTCGTGGTTTCCCGGTCCCTGTTCGATTTACAAGCGCAATGGCCTACCTCCATATGCTCTGCTAAGAATTTGCCTGAGCCACGCGGGGAGGGTGCGGTTGACCAGCAGCCATGGTGATGGCGATCCGAATTGCCAAGTTGTCGGCACGCCAAGAATTGACAACGGTGGTAAAATCACGGCCATTAATGACCCGGGCACGCACCGAACCGACTACGACAACCAGCGATGAACGCGAGTACCACTAATGGGCGTTTGGCGACCGGTCAACCGCGCCCAATAAATACGACACACACAATGTCCATATTATCCTCTTCGACTGTCTCTGATGATGGGTTCGAGTGAGAACCCGGGACGTCAGGTCAGTAAATTTCCGTTTCAGCGGTCGCATATTCTGAACTGCTTCCCGGAACTCGCCTGTTCGCTTCTGTCAACTATTCTTCCCATCGTCTGATACCTTTTTTCCTCGTCTGTAACAAACAGTGATGCTACTGGCGACCTTTCTCGGATGTAGACGGGTGCGAATTAGCCGACATAGAGCCGGTAACGAGTAAACTGGGAGTGTGCTGAGAGCGCTACAGTCACCAGGCCGCATCACACCAGACTGAGGGGTTTATTATTTACAGAACCCAGAGCTGTCCTCCCAGGCAGCAATGGCCGCTGGCTAAGCCAGGGCTGGCATTAACTGCGCCAGGTCATGGAATTGTGGTGACAGCTGCTTTTGTACGTTTGTGGGGCATTCTTCACTGGTGTCCAGTTTGTGTGTGTGTTGGCTTGTCGAGGGGTGGTTTTCAAGTGCCTTCTGTTGCACTCACTGGGAGCGGGCATTTCAAGTAGTGCGTGGACAGCTGTGACTCTGCGGACGCACGTGTCCGGGTTGAAGTCGATCGAGTGGCTGTGGGTCAGATGCACCTGGAAGTGTTCGCTGCGAAGGTGGCTTAACCCAAGAACGCCTGACATGGCCATGATGGCTGTTGGCAACAGCTCTCCGTCAGACACAGGAGGAAGCGATGACGTCGATCATGGGGCTAACGATGAGATAGTGCGCGGTGCACATGCGGGTTAGAGAGGCTTTGTCGAGTGTGAGGCGTTGCTCGTGCCAGAGACCCCACGGTTGATGCTGCGACCTGTGCTGAGGCGCAGTTGAGGCATCAACCATGGGTGTGCTGGCGTGGTCTCGTCAACGTGTGCCGGTGAGTCGGTACTTTTCGAACACAAGGCATCCCAATAAGTGCTGAGTTGAACGAATGCGTCACTGAGATAGCGTCATTGTCGTGCAGAAACAAAACGTGGGATAGAACGAGGTTCGCGAAAACTGTGCGCCGACTATTTATATTACCCGATATTATTGTCTTTCTGGTTCCCGAAACCAACCGTTTTCAATTTGAATAGTTCTTCTCTTGGAGTTTCGGTGACAGCTTTTATATAAAGAAGAGTGAACACACAAAGAAGCATCTAACGCCCCCAAAGGATATATTGGGTTCCATTAGTTCGGCATTTTCCCGCGGCATACGTTTTGGTTGCTGCAGTATTACATTGTTTTATCGTTATAGGACACCATACTAGCAGCACAGGTACTAGCTGCTAGTACGGTATCCCCTAACGCTAAAACAATATACCAGCTGCCTGTCGGCAGTTAAGGAATATTAAGCCGTCATCCTGCTATGGCTGATGGACTTCGGCCCAAATATGCATGCATCAAATTTCGGTCTGCGCCTTAGACGCGTAATATAAACTGATCTACTCCAAGTTAGCAGTCAATTTCTAAGGAATTATTCCGAATATGCCAAAAAATCTATGAATTACGTAAGCCTGGTAGTCATCTGGTGGATTCTAGGTGCATTACTTAGGAAATCCTGCTTGGGCGGTCAGCTTACTGTATCAGATTTGGTGGATTCCAGACGTTGCAGTAAGCTGGGCGGGTAAACGTGACCCAAATGTGATTAAACTCGCGTCGTCCGGTGGGGCTTCGTAGTTCAGATGGTTGGAGCGTCGGCTGAACTACAGCCTTCTCCTTACTGCGTGGGTTCGAATCCCACCGAGGCGCCCAGTTTTTCACAGTTGGGTCAAAGTGAATTATTCGAAATCTGCCAAAACACCTCTGGATAGAGCGAAGTGTCGAAAGTTTGAGGATTAATCGATACATCTACATTTACATGTTGAATGCATGAAAGCAACTCACGGATTAATGTTACAGGAAAAAGGAGAAACGTGTTCCGATAGCAACACATATGGATTATTGCTCCAATTAACTCAATTGGAATTCGACCTGGAATCGTGCGGCTGAGTTCTGTTGAGACGTCCATCTCGACTCCCGACAGAGTACCCGAAACCACGTTTTCTCTACCCGTCCGCACGATACGTGAGTTATGAAAAACGGTGGAGCGATGCCGGATAGGAACTTCGTGGCGGTAGTGATCAGCCACGGCTGGAGGTTGCGTGTTTGTATCACGTCGTACTCACCAGTTTGCAGCGGCTAAGTTGTGGGTGGGACCTTCTGGCGAGGTTGGTTCACCGTATTCAATGTAGGTCGTCTTAACACGATCAATGCTGACAAGGTCAGTTTTGACGATAAAATCCTTGCCAGATCATCAAAGGACTTTGTGCAGCCACTCATGGGAACTTGGAGTGGCCGACGGACAGCGACATGCCAGGACGAAGTCGCACGTATACAGGTCGGGAGAGATGAAGGAACTGGCCAGGGACGCCGGAGGGGGGGGGGGCGGGGCGTTGTGCGGAGATTGCGCCTGAAACTGCTCGCGTCGAAGATGAATGGCCTTAACGCAATGGCATCTTGGACAAGGACGCCAACCAGCCGTCACTAAACGCGGTCTTCTTGGCTT